AGAGGAGAAACCAAAACCAGAGGTTAAGAGGTCTGCCCCAATCATGAGGCAGGCTGACAGAATGGGGCTGGGACTACACCTTGGGGTACTGCCCTATTCTCTCTGCCACCCCTGATGCATGCATGCACAGGTGCGCGCGCGCACACACACACACACACACACACACACACACATTACCTTCCTTGTACCTGGAATACCAAGTTACAACCATAGGAGTCCAGATGACAGGGTGTGTGGGCTCCCAAGGAGCCAATCCACAATGTACTTTCCTGTCCATTTCTTCCAGGAAACCCGAAGTCAGACCATTTCACATCCTGTTTTGAAATAAAGTTGCAATCCATCAAGAACTAACCAACTTCTCTGTATGGTAATGTTGCCCATTTTCACTTGCACATCTGTTATTTGGCAGTTGGAATATTCTGTTATGGAAAATGCTACAGATGCAAGAGGTTAGGTTTCCAGGGCAGTTCAAGAAATCTTTCTAGCCAACAACATATTTGAATAACCACACTAATAGTAATCATTCAACAAATATTTACTGACTACTTACAACATGCCAGGCACTGTTCTGGAAGCTTGTAATGAATCAATGAACAAAAGAGACAAAATGCCCACTCAGATGAAGCTTACATTTTAGAGTTGGAAACAGACAGGATTCTGCTGATATTTAGGGAAAGCGTGTTTTGGGCAGTTAGAACAGTGAATACAGTGGAAACATCATTATTTCAAATATCTCTAAGACGCAACCGAGGAAGTCAGAAATCCTTATTCCCTCTAAGCAGTGCATATATTTGTGTATATATGCAACTTACTAACTTTGTGTACTTCAATGACCACATAAAAGAAGCCTTCTCCTACATTAGTGGGGTTACTTAAAACTATCAATGCTGGAGCCTTAGCTCATACCTACTAGATCAGTCTTCAGGTGAGGGTGTCAAGGTACATCTTTTGAAATATACATCCATGGATGGCTTTCAATATACTCCCCAAAGTCATGAACTTCTTAAGTGCAATGATCTTTAAAACAGAGACAGCATAGTGCTCTGGACTTAGACTCTTCATATGCCTGGTTCTGTGGGCAAGTCCTGCCCAAGTCAACTACTGGGAAAAGCCTATACTTTTAGAAGCCGACAGTGCATTTGCAGCACAGAAAAATAGGGTCACACATAAACCGAAATCCATGTGATTAAACAGATTTATAAGCTAGAAAAGAAAAAGAACATACTAGTGAACCAGGCGTGATGGTTCTGCCTTATTTTTATTTTACTCACGAAATTTTCCTTTTGGTTTTAAAAAACAAAAGCAAAGAAAAAAAAACCCACTTCTATGTGCAGAACATCATTCTCAATGCTGACACTCCTTTTATCAGTAACTGCAGTCCAAATTTTCTATTTTTAGAGGGAAAACATTAACAGCTGTATTCAAAGAGAAAGGATTTTAAAGAGAAATTTAATGGATGGTTTTGAGGAAGACTAGAAAGGGCACTTTTTTTTCTTTTTTGTTTTGAGTGATGAAAATGGTTGAATACATGCACATAACTAATGTCTGACATAGAAGGGGGAATTTTTGCAAGGTCAGCACCACTGTAAATGCATATGGCTCACATGTGGCAGTTCCAGTGGGTGGTAAAAATCCTGTTCTCTCTGCATATAGCCCATAACCTCCATACTGGGAGCTTACCCCTGTTTTCTCAATGCCTAACTTAGTACCAGGCTCAGGGTTAGACCTTGGAACACACTGGCTGCTTGGGAGGGAAAGAAGAATCCACTGACTCATGATGATTAAAATAGTTCAGGCCAATGACATTTTTGAGCATACACCTGGTGTGATGCTGGGTGTTGGGGATACAAAAATTAATGTAACACAGGCCAACCCTTCAAATCTAATAATGGGCGATAATCCTATAAACAGAGCCTTTCAACATGATGTAACAAGTGCTCTGACACAAATATGCAGGAAATGCTTTAAGATCACAGCAGGAGAGCCCTGTACCCAAGCAGGGAGCTTAGGGGAGGCTTCCAATTAACCTGGTCCTTGTTGAACAATTTACCACACCTCAGTCTGAAGAATTTAACTAAAGGTAGCTGAAAGCCATTCAGTATGAAAAGGAAAAAAGAGACTTGTCTTAGCTAAGAAGAGACAGGTTATGTGATTCTTAATCTTATAGATACGTCCCTGCAGGAATCTAATGAATACCAAAGCCCCTTCTCCTCAGAAAAAGCACACATGAAATTTCATATATACTTTCAAAGACGTGACAGACCAACCCCACATGAAAAACCCTGTTCTAGAGCCCTGCTTTGGAAAGAATCACTGAAGAAAGATTTTTCTACAGGGTGAGGTTACTGTATGAGAAACTGAGGAGAGGCTTCCCTGGCCTCTTATCTAACAGTAATGACTTGAAAAGCAAAACTGTCAGCCAGGTGTGGTGGCTCATGCCTGTAATTCCAGCAATCTGGGAGGCTGAGGTGGGAGGACTGCCTGGGTCCACGAGTTCAAGACCAGCGAGGGCAATGTTTGGTGAGTCTCTGTCTCTACAAAAACTTTTTTTTAACAAATTGGCTGGGCGTGGTGGCATGCACCTGTGGTCCCAGCTACTCAGGAGGCTGAGGAGGGAGGATCATTTGAGCTTGGGAGGTTAAGGCTGCAGTGAGCTGTTTGCACCACAGCACTCCAGCCTGAGTGCCTGAGTGACAGAGCAAGACCTTGTCTCAAAAAAAAAAAAGCAAAAAAAGCAAAATTGTCAGTGTAAAAATAGACAGCATTGAGAGTTGGGATTCTCTGCCCAAGTAAGTTTAGCTACTTATGGGTAGTCAAATGTCTGAAGTCAATGTGGGCCCAGGAATCTGTCTTGAGTCTTGCTAGAAACAGGAGGCCCTGTTTGGGTGCTACATCTGTAAAACCAAAAAGGGTGATCAGTAGGGTGATCTGTCCTGGAGTCTACTCACACATACCTCAAGAGTTGGAAAAATCTTTAAAAAGCATCTATTCTCAGAAAGTTCTATTCTACACCATCCCTGAAAAGAGCAAAAGTAGCTAGCTTGGGAGGGAAAGTAGCTAGCTGGTTGACCACTTACTACAAAATCAGTATCTACTTCCTGGTAGCTTACAGAGGAGGATCCTAGGTTTGCTTTCTATAACTAAAGAGAACAAGTTTATTTCCTGCCAAAAATTGCTATTTTTAAGTTATCAGAAAGACTGTCCAGCTTCTCCTTTATTATTATTTTTTTTAACCTAGATGCAGCAGCATTAACTTTTCCTTCCAATTGCTCTTCTCTCAATTTCCTTTATTTGTCAACAGGCCTAAAGCCTGGCTTCCAAACTGAACCCCAGACACAGTCTACACAGAACCTGTATCCATGGAATTGTAACATTCCATGACCCGGACATCATACCATTAATGCACTGTCAGACGGCACTTTTCTTTTTAAGCAACTAAATTATACCAAGGCTAATATTGGGCCTCCCTGTCTCTTACTTGCAGACTGTTGCTTAGCATATCTCTTCAGCCTTGACTTATAGTCAAGGACTAGCCTAATATTTCCTAATTTTCCTTGTGATTTACTATTTGACTTATGGATTATTTAGAAGTTTAAGGTTTAATTTCAAATATTTGGGGATTTTTCAGCTATCTTTTTGTCATGAATTTTTAATTTAATTCTGTTGTGGTGAGAGAACATACTTTGTATGACTTAAATCCTTTTAAATTATTGAAACTTGTTTTATGGCCCAGAATATAATCAATCTTGATAAACGTTCCATGTGCACTTGGAAATAATGTGTTTTCTGTTGTTGGGTGGAGTGTTTTATAAATGTCAATGAAATCAAGTGGATTGTTCAAGTCTTCTGTGTCCTTACTGATTTTCTGTATATTTGTTTTACCCATTATAGAGACAGAGGTATTGAAATCCCCCTGCTATAATTGTATATTTGTGTTTTTCTCACTTTAGATTCGTCAGTTTTGTTCATGTATTTTGAAACTGTTATTGGGTTCATACACATTTGGGATTATTATGTCCGCTTGGTGAACTGACCTTTTATTGTGATAAAATGACCCTCTCTACCTTGGGTTTCCTTGTTTTGATGTTAACTATGTCTGTCTTCTCCTTTGAATAGTACTGGCATGAAAAAGGAGTGCTTACTATATGATTCCATTTCTACGAAATTCTAGAACTGCCAAACTAACCTGCAGTGACAGAAAGTACTACATCAGTGGTGTCTGAGAATGAGGGTGTAGGGAGAGACAGGTTATGAAGGGACACTGGGAAACTTTTGGACATGATCAAAATGTTTGTCATCTTGAATGTGGTGATAATTTCTTGGGTGTATGTATATGTAAAACTTAATCAAACTGTTCACCTTAAACATATGCTGTTTATTATATATCAGTTATACCCCAATAAAGTTGTGTGTGTATTTTTTTAATACAATGCTATTAGTACACTTTGATCCCACTGTCTCGACACTAGCAGTTTTGTTCACCATTGCATTTGTACCATCAGTGCAAATGTCAACACTGTGAAATAAGCAAATATCATCTTAGAAGTATTATGAAAATAATTTTGATCTCAAAGATCCTCTGAAAGGTTGTCAGGGACCCCCAGGGGTCTATGGGTCACTCTGGTTTACAACATCACAACTGTAATTACTCTATGTTCTTCTGTTCTGACTCCTCCTCTAAGTAATTCTAAAACAGTTTCTTATGAAAATACATTTTAAGTCATACTCCAGATTAAAATTAAAATACTTTAATCATGTTCACAAACGTTTTATAACTTAAAATTATATAACTAAGTAATTCTAAAACAGTTTCTTATGAAAATACATTTTAAGTCATATTCCAGATTAAAATTAAAATACTTTAATCATGTTCACAAATGTTTTATAACTTAAAATTATATAAGGATAGCATTTAAGACCCTCCCAAGTATGGCTGACGCCACCTGTCTGCTCTGCGTAAGGCCCTGTCCAGTCTCCTCACTGACCTATGCTCTCTCTTACCTCCTGGCCTCTGCTCATGCCCCTTTCAATTTCTGCCTGTTAAAGTTCTATGTTTTAGGACCTGGCTCAGGTTCAGCCTTGGCTATGAAACCTTCTCAACCACTTGTACCCATATCCATCTGTCCCTTGCCTTCCTTCCTATATGTTTTATTTGGATTACTATTTAAATGGTAAGTGACACAGAGCGTTTGTGTCCTCCTGTTCCTTTAACAATATTGTAAGCTCTTTGGGCTATATTTTATAATTTTTTACTCCTGTAAACTGCTAACATACTGCTGAATACATAATAGGTATTTGAATGATTACATAAGTGGATTTTTTCCTACTCTTACCATTTCTTGTTTTGATATTTCTCTGGGTCTTTAGGACCCCTCAGAGAATGTTTTGACTTAAACCCCTAGCTTCACCTTTGTCAAATTCTCTGTGGCTTCTAGTTAATCAGTGTAGCATTTGTCAGCCTTGGTAAGAAATTCTTAATCTCCCTGGCTCTCTACTAGTTTTGTAAGTTTTTACTTACAGCCTCTACTTGAAGTTTCCTCCTATTAACTCTTTTCTTCCACAAGTTAAATTTATCTATGAAAAATATGTATATTGATAAATATATTGGTATGATTGGAAAATATCCTGTAGCCTCAAGATGGCCTAAAAGTATGATTTTGACACTTAACTGACTTTTGTGTATAGCAAATAAAATTAATCTTATTATTTTTTAGTTATACATCATATCACTGACTAATCTAAATAAAGCACTTGTTTTGAACATTTTGTTCTCTACTTTCCTAGAAAGGTAGGGAATTTGTGACAGTACAAAACAAAATTTCTTTCCTTCAGACTCATTAGGTAAGAATGACAGGTTTTACCTTTTGCAATTATCAGTAAGTATCATCATAATTGAAGTTATTAAGAATCAACATGTAATAAAAGGAATTTTGCCCTAAGAATGCTTCTCAGGTAGATTCCATTTGACATTGTGATTTGAATTGGCTACTGAAGGTCAGGAGCCTTGTTAAGTCACCAGGTCACAGATTCCCAAAATACAGTAGATGGAAGAATAGTTGTAATATGTCTTGGACTTTAAAACATAGCTATGAGAGCATGTTGAAATTGAGGCAGGTGATTTGATAATGAATAATGGCATCTGATGGCCAGTGATGCTTTCTGATGAGACAAGTTGGAATGTAAGAATTAAGGTGTTTATCGAGCCTATCGGTGGGTAGAGAGTTAATTACCTCTTTTCTGTTTATGTACCAAAGGTAATTTTTCTAAGGAAAAAGAAACTCAGACAATTGCTAATGTACAATGTCAATTTAAGGGGCTGTTTGAAATTTGGATTGAAATATTTATCCTTTGTAAGTTTTGGAGAGTAATTATAATTAATTGTATTATTTTAAAAGTTATATTTTGGGCTGGGCATGATGGCTCATGCCTGCAATCCCAGCACTTTGGGAGGCTGAGCAGGCAGATCACTTGAGTTCAGGAGTTCGAGACCAGCCTGGTCAACATGGTGAAACACCATTTCTACTAAAAATCTAAAATTTAGCCAGGCACAGCGTATACTCCCAGCTACTCGGGAGGCCGACGCGGGAGAACTGCTTGAACCTAGGAGGCGGAGGTTGCAGTGAGCCAAGATCATGTGATTGCACTCCAGCCTGGGTGACAGAGTCAGACTCTGTCTCAAAAAAAAAAAGAAAAAGAAATACATAAGCCTGAAAGCTTCCTAAGACTTTTTTCTGATAAGAACAGTGGTATTAACAAACATGACTTTTTGAATAATGAAATGTATCAAGTATACTGAAAATGTGTCAACATTTGGAAGATCTACATAATTTAGTAAACCAATATTTTCCAAATGGTCCATGATAACATTACATAAGATCCATTCTGCGCAAGACAGACCAATGAATTTTATTACAAGGGTACAGAGTTCATTCATTATAGGTTCAGATTTTATATTGCAACTAATGAGCCTTTAAGAAACTACCCCTCATCAAGTGTGGTGTAGTATAAAAACAATCCACAATTATCTGAAAAGGCTGTTATTAATAAATATTCCTCCCTTTTTCAGTTTCATATGTGTGTGAGGCAAAATTTTCTTCATATACTTTAAACAAACCAACAAATTGCAATAGCTTGAATGGAGAAGCAGAGAATCCAGCTGTCTTCTTACAGCCAGACATCAAGGAGACATGCCAAAATGTACAACAATCCATCCCTCTGATGACATTGAAAATTTTTTGAATATAGTTATTTTCTTAAAAATATTATTATGTTAACATATAGTGGGTTGTGTCATTTTAAATAAATTAATAAACATTTTTTAAATGTACCCATTTTAATGCTTAACTACCCACCATTTTATGACAGATATAAGAAAGCATGAAACATAAGTAATAAGACTTGGTAGCTGAATGAATTAAACCAACATAGGTACCTGTGATGTAAGAAGACTTGGTGCCCAGAAAATTTCGAGACAAAAGGTGATATAATCCTAATGGACGTGGTTATTCATAGCAGAATTAATTGCCATAATATGAGCTGACAGAAAACTCATTCAACTCAAAATATCAGATTTTATAAGGGCTCAGTTAGAATTCCAGCACATTGCCAAAAAGACTGCCCTTTAGATCCGCACTTAATGGACAAGTCACATACTGCTCAGTGCTGCCTTGCCTGGGATGAGACAGAACTACTGAGGTCAGATCAAAGACTCATCCAAGGCAGAGTGAGCCTAGATTCAGGACAGAGAGTCCCAATGGGACTGAATGTATGCACTGCTCTGTAGGCACAGTAGTCATTAAAGCTCTGGAGTAGCTAAAGCTCTGAAAGCAGACTATTTGGGTTACCCCTTCGTAGTTGTATAATCTTAGAAAAGGTTTACTTAACCTCTTTGGGTCTCATTTTTCTTAAAATGGGGATAATTATTAAATCATAGAGTTACTTTGAGGATTATAAATGTAAAACATTAGAAAAATTCCCCTCAAAAGTAAGTACTTGATCAATGTTACTATTAAGCAATATTTTACCTGAAATATGGAGTAAAGTACTAGTCTGATTTACAGAGTGGTGGGGGGTGAGTATGAGAAACATAACAAAACACTTTTAAAGTTAACTATGAAATCTGTAAGTTCCATAATTAAAGAACCATAAAGTGATCACAATTAAGGTTGTAAGAAAAAACATCTACCTTAAAATTATCATTTAAAAATGAGTAAATAGTAGATTTGGCATTGACTTTGAATTCAGAGTCATTTACTGAGTGTTTTTAAAACCTATGCATTTCTTTCATGGGTCAGAGAATGAAAATACATTCTCAACTAACAACGACAGGCTGGGTGCAGTGGCTCATGCCTGTAATCCCAGCACTTTGGGAGGCCTAGGTTGGTGGATCACTTGAAGTCGGGAGTTCGAGACCACCCTGGCCAACATGGTGAAACCCTGTCTCTACAAAACCATACAAAAATTAGCTGGGTGTGGTGGCAGGCACTTGTAATCCCAGCTACTGGGGTTAGCGGGTGGGCGGTGGCTGTGGCAGGAGAATTGCTTGAACCTGGGAGGCAGAGGTTGCAGGGAGTTGAAATTGCACCACTGCATTCCAGCCTGGGTGACAGAGACTCCATCTCAAAACAACAATGACAACAACAACAACAACAAAACTATGGGGCAAGGTGACACATTTTTCCTTTTTTTAATATAAAAAAGCAAAATTAAGCCAGGCGCAGTGGCACATTCCTATACTTCCAGCAACTCAGGAGGCTGAGATGGGAGGATCTATTATAATACCTATGTTAACATCAGCATTTACATCTTGACTCAACATAAAAAAGAAAAATATACACTGAATGGAAAATTACTGAGGAGCCAAAGAACTATCAGCCTATGAGAGCCAAGTCCAGAGAGTGGGTGGTGGCAGAGAGGAAAAGAGGTGAACAGCCTGCAGGGATGGTGAAATATTTCTCTCCACAAAGAAGAAGCAGGAAGGAGGACTCTGGAGCCTTGGCCTGAGTGGGGGCAAGGCAGAGTCCTCCAAACAGCCTCTGGAATGGCTCCCATTCCTGCCCCACACCTAAGACACACATGGAAACAAGAGCAGAGAGTTTGCAAAATTATCTCACAAAATAAACTGCCAGTTTAAGGTAGAAAACATTTAAAAGAAAAGAGGATATGGTAGTCTGGAAACTCTGTTGTCAGTTATGTCAACATACGGCAAAGAACTTCCATAATTTTACTTCTGCAAGTCACTCCCACACTTCTACAGGGCTTCCGCTACCGAATACTGGGAGCCAAGTGTTCTCTGCCTCAGGCCATGAACTGCCAGATAAAACAGCTGTCCAAAACCCCTAGAGCAGGTAGAAATTGCAGCAGCAGCCTGGTCACAGCCCAGGGAATGCTCCTTCACAGAATCGGCTTTATGCTTTCATCTGCCTCACTGACGTGACAAGAACTTACATGGAGGTCAGGAGGCAATGAAGTTTTACATACAATCTATGCTTCTAACATACTCCAAACCGACTCAAGCACTGTTTAAAAGCAAAGGAGGGTGTATAGGAAGTTTGGGAGTAGGAAAACAAGGAAGCCTGCTCATCTGTGTGAGCCAAATGGTACACTTCTCTTCAGCAAACTTTCGGTTTGAGTGGGTGAAATATCCAGGACTCATGGCGATTACTTATGAGAGAAAAAGGCAGAGAAGGTGCCAGGGAGATTCTAATTTGTGTGTTCTCAAAAACAAATTCCTACCAAGATTAGAAGGAAGGTTCTGACTTACCTGGAAAATATCTGTCTTGTCTTCAAATAGACTGACAAAATATTTATAGTCAGCATAAGCCCAGAACTTGGAATGGTCATAATCTCTAAATGGTCCAGAAATACTAGACTGGTCACAGTTCCAGGTCAGAAACTCTTCGAGTGTAGCTTCTACATAACTACATGTAGTTTCAAACTGAGGAACTGCAATGTAAGAGAATGCAACTTTAAATGTATAGTGAACACATTTCCTAATTATTGTTGTTTTTTAAAAAATAAAGATGATTTCAACCAAAACATTAACTTTGAAGACTAACTAAAAATTCGTTTTGAGCCAGGTGTGGTGGTGTATGCCTGTAATCCTAGTTTCTCTGGAGGTTGAGGCAGGAAGACGGCTTGAGTCCAGGAATTTGAGACCAGTCTGTGCAACAGAGCAAAACCTCATCTCCAAAAAAAAAATTAATTAAAAAATTTAAAAATTAATTTGTACTTGTTATATAATTAGAGCCATTTATAAAATTCACAATACTCAGGATTAAACATAAAAGTATAAAGCACAGTTTTAACCTTAAGATTAAAGACTACCCTATGAGTAGATTTAGTAATCCAAACTTGAGGATTTAGTAAACAAAAACTTGAGGCACCATATAGTTAAATGCAAAATTTTATGCTGCTGACACTTGGAAAAGGCAAAGATCACTAGAGATGAGGGTTGATCAGGAAAGCTTCAAGAAAAGGTATCTTATCTGTCCACAGTGGCTTGCTATTATGGGTGTGACCCCAGTGAGTCAAGATTGGAGTCTCGGATTGACACAGACTATTCTTCTAAAAGAATGATGAAATATGAAATTAATTTTATTTTTGCAACTTAAATGAACATAGGAAGTTAATATTTAAGAAATCTGATTATGACTTCCTTTACAAAACATGAAATCTTTTCAAGATGTGATATAGATCAGTTAGCACAGTGCTTGACACAGCAGATTTCAGTAAATGTTCACAACTATTTTTTATTTTTTGTTTTTGTTTTGAGATAGGGTCTTGCTCGTCATACAGACTGGAGCACAGTGGTGTAATCTCGACTCACTGCAACTTCTGCCTCTCGGGTTCAAGCGATCCTCTCGCCTCAGCCTCTCAAGTAGCTAGGACTAGAGGCATGTGCCACCACGCCTGGCTAATTTTTGTATTTTTTAGTAGAGATGGGGTTTTGCCATGTTGGCCAGGCTGATCTTGAACTCCTGGCCTCAAGTGATCTGCCCGCCTGGGCCTCCCAAAGTGCTGGGATTACAGGCATGAGCCACCGTGCCCAGACAATGTTAGGCACTATTATTAGTACTTCTTATCCATTCATATATTTACTTGGAACCCTTTAAAAGTCAGCTGAATCAGTAGCAAGAAGAATATGAATATTCTTCTTTCAACGGCTTTTATCTTTTCTCTACGTTTCTGCCTATAACTGCTTAGAATTATCCAATCATCTTTTTCCTTTCCCTTCTTTTTCCTAAGCCACAGAATGGCAGAGAGGTAATAGAGACAGGGTGTATGTCAACGAATCATCCTAATTCTTCCACTTTAACTTGTCACCTCACTTTGAGAAGCAGGAGAACTTAACTAGGGCACATTTATCTAAAAGATTAAAATATACATATTCAAGAACTATTTAAATTTTAACAATTTTTGTAAAGCACTTAGTGCCTGGCACATAGTAAACAATCAATATACATAAACTCTTAACATATCAACATTGGCCAGGCTTAGTGGCACATGCCTATAATCTCAGCGCTTTGGGAGGCCGAGGTGGGAGGACTGCTTGAGCCCAGGAGTTTGAGATTAGCCCGGGCAACATGGTGAAACCCTGTCTCTATAAAAAATACAAAAAAATTAGCCAGATGTGGTCGTATGTGCCTGGAGTTCCAGCTATTCAGGCAGCTGAGGCGGGAGGATCACTTGAGCCCTGGAGGTTGAGGCTGCAGTGAGTAGAAACTGTGCCACTGCACTCCAGCCTGGGTGACAGTGAGATCCTGTCTCAAAACAAAAACAAAAACAAAACAAAAAACTACCAACTTCATCAAAAATTTATCATAAAAGCACAGAAGTACATAAAGTTTAATTCTGACAAACAAAAGTGCATGTGGCAAGAAAGCTGTATGACTCTGGGAAATAGGAGTCATTTCTAAAAGATTTAAGTAACTCCACTGTAAGTCTAAACATATTATACCATCTTAGGAGTTTTCACTTCCTAGAATTCAATCCAACTGAATACTAAAGCCATTAAATGAGCTACTTGCCCTTGGGGTGGACTAAGCAGGACTTTTCTGTTGAGGCCAGTTATCTCAGGCAAGCCTGATTTGCAGCCCCCAGAACCTGGCCTCATTAGAAGACTTCATTTTCTGTTATAGCAAGCTCTGCACGTTAAAAAATGTTAAATCTAAAAATGTAAAAATTACATATGAGAACTGTTACTGTCAGGGGAAAATTATCATGAATGGAATGAATGAAAATGACAGATCTTTTCATTTCCATAATGATTTCAAAATATAATTTTTTTACTCTTTCCTGGTAGTAGCATCATCAAAGGTACTGCTCTGATTTTGTTATAATGACAATTTCTTTCTGGGTAGTACAGTTGTTATTCTTAGTTTGTCTTATGCAATGAAATTATTCCTTTCTAATTTTACCAAGATTCTTTCATTTAATGTTGAAGTAGTCTAGGCAACTATAATGTTCATCCTACTTACTGTAAAGTACTAGGTAAGAAGCGCAACTGAGGTCAGGATTTGGCAGTAGTGTACAAGCTGAGCTTGCTTTTAATTATTATAAAAAGGGGTCCTAAAATAGTTTTTGCACAACAGGATAACAACTATTTCTCCATTTTGTTAAACTTTCATCATTTTACAAGTAAGAAATAATACATGATGCCTAAACTCTAAACAGGTCTTTTGATCACTCTATCCCCCTGCTTTCAGATGTTCAGGGTTATTTCTACAACTGCTTGCCAAATTTACTGCCAACTGAGATACAACACTGCCACTGACCACATATCTTGGGAAACAAATCTGATCCAAAATGCTATGTGATGTTCTCTCTCTGCTTCCTAAAATAAACTAAGGAACACATGATATTCAAAAATGCCAATTATTAACACTTCTATTTCAAGTATTCTAGAAAAATTCTAACCAAGACCTAAGACCTAAAACAGAAATAAGAAATATACTCAACAGAGAGGAAACAAAGTTATCCTTTTAAAATCATGTGCCTGTCTAACTAGAAAACTCACAAAACAACACAAAACTACCTAGGCTAATTAGTAGGTGCACACAATATAAACACACTGAAACAAATGGCTTTCCTCTATAACCAATCACAACCAGTTAGAAAACTGTAACAGGCAAAAATATTTCCTTCATAACAGCTATAACAAATTTACAATATTTTAAGGAATCTGTAGACCTATGTAAAAACTATAAATCACTTTACTGAGACCCAAATAGACTTCGTAAGTAAAGATAACATGTTCCTGTGTAGGAAGATACAGTATTATAACAATGGGATTAATTAATTATAAAGCTTAATCAATTTTCATTTGAAATTCCAACAGGTTTCTTTACAGTGAGAACTTTGTGTAACTCTAAAGTTCATTTAGATATATAAAAATTCAATAATATCTAAGAAAAAAGAGTAATTAGGGAGGATGAATTGTATATTCAAATATTAAAATACATACCACTACTAAAAGCATGTTTTAAAACTGTTTTACTGGCCCCCAAACTGGTAGCTTAATATGTGGCCCAAAAACTGATGCTGGAATATACAAGAATATAGTAATATAATAAAGGTGATTTCCAAAGTCAGTAGGGTAAAAAAGAAATATTCAGTAAATGGTATTGGAATAAAATTTCCAAATTTAGCTATTTGTATAAAAAAATTCACTGAATACCATATAACAAAATAAGTAAGAAATGGATAGTTAAATGTAAAAAAGAAATCATTAATCAATTAGAAAAAAACTATTAGAATATTTCTCTATTTTCAGGATAAAGAAGGAATTTCTAAAGTTAAATGAAAATAAAAATGTTAATAAAGCATTATTTAAATTATATAAAAATATAAAACTGTGAAGCTAAAATGAGAAAGCAAACAATAACTAGGAAGCTTATTAGTTAACAACATAATCTTCTTTTTTTTAATCTGTTTTACTTATTTTTTTTATTTCTAGAGGCAGGGTCTCAGTCTGTTGCCCAGGCTGGTGGGCAGTGGTGTGGTCAGAACTTTGAACTGCTGGGCTTAAGCAATCCTCCTGCCTCAGCTTCCTGAGCAGCTAAGACTACAGGTGTGCACCATCACACCCAGCTAATTAAAACAATTTTTTTTTTTTAGAGACAGGGTCTTGCTATGTTGCCCAGGCTGTTCTGGAACTCCCAGCCTCAAGTGATCCTTCTTTCTAGGCCTCCTACAGTGCTGGGATTATAGGTGTGAGTAGCTGTGCCATGCCACAATCTTCATAATATATAAAGAATTCAAAAAAATTTTTAAACCCTAAAATCCCAATAAGGAAATAGTCAAAGACCAATTATCAGAAAAAAATACAAGTTACGAATAAACATGAACATATGTTCAATATCGCTAGCAATCAAATAAATGTGTGTGTGTTTTGTTTTGTTTTGTTTTGTTTTTTTGAGACAGAGTCTCACTCTGTGGTCCAGGCTGGAGTGCAGTGCCACTATCTTGGCTCATTGCAACCACTGCCTCTTGGGTTCAAGTGGTTCTCATGCCTCAGCCTCCCAAATAGCTGGGATTACAGGCGTGCACCACCATGCCCAGCTAATTTTTTGTATTTTTAGTAGAGATGGGGTTTTGCCATGTGCCCAGGCTGGTCTCGAACTCCTAAGCTCAGGTAATCCACCCACCTCGGCCTCCCAAAGTGCTAGGATTGCAGGCATGAGCCACTGCACGCAGCCAAATAAATGTTAATTAAAATAATGAAATAACATTTTTCATGTAACAGGGCCTCGCTCTGTCTTCCAGGTTTGAGTGCAGTAGCGTGATCACAGCTAACTGCAGCCGCGACCTTCTAGGCTCAGGTGATCCTCCCATCTCAATCTCTGGGGTAGCTGGGACAACAGGTGCACGCCACCATACCCAGATAATTTTTTTGTACTTTTTGTAGAGACAGGGTTTTGCTATGTTGGCCAGGCTGGTCTTGAACTCCTGGGCTCAAGCAATCCTCCTGCCCCAGGCTCCCAAAGTGCTGGGATTACAGGCATGAGCCAGCATGCCCAGCCTGAAAGATTTTTAAGATAAATTTCAGTTTTGGCCAAGGAGTAGCAAAACAGGAACCCTCACATGTTCTGAAAAGAATGTAAATAGAAACCACCTTCGTGCAAAGCCCTTAGCCATATGTTTCAAAGCCTTTCATTCTTTCACTTCACAAATTGAATGTCCATTAGGTGCTCAGCCCATGATGAGATGTGGCCCTTGCCCTCACAGAAGTGACCTTCTTGAGGGGAAGAGACTTCAAACAGGTAATTATACAACCATGTGATTACAACTGTGCTAAGTGTTACTAAGAAATACAAAGTGTTCTGAGGTAATTGAATAGTCACACCTGATTTGTGGTATGGGGAAGGATAGATTTGTCAGGAAAAATGACATTTAAGCTAAGATCTGACAGAAGGAGATGAATTAATTAGGTAAAGTTGGCGGAAAGGGAAGTGAGAAAAGAGAGACTAGACACAGGGAACTACATACACATGCGAAGGTCCTGAAGTGGGAAGAAACAAAGCCCTGGAAATACAGAAACTGAAAAATGCTTGTCTGGCCTGAGCTCAGGGAGAGAAATGATGCTGGGCCTTCCACACCACAATGGACATTTTGGTCTTTAGCCTAAGCGTAACTGGAAGCCATTTAAGTGTTTTAAGCAGAGAAATAAGATTAGATTTGTTTTCCTAAAAGTCGTCTCTGGCTTCAGTATGAGGAATGGTGTGGAAAGGGAGGGCAAGGGGTGCAGACAGACTAGGATGAGGCCATACAACTATGGAGGTGAGAGAGAGTAAGCGGGGTAATGCCCACTAGAGGACAGCTGTGGAGACAGACAGAAGCAGGCGGATGCTAGATATTTAGGATGTAAGTCACTGAGTCACAAGACACCACTCAAGACAAGCAATCAGAATGACTCAGAGGTTCTGGTGTAAGGAGCGTCACAGATAGTGCTGCTAATGATGATAATGCTCATATCCTTTGATCCAGTAACTCTCCTAGGAATCAATCCTAAGGAAGTAATCAGAAACTGTGACAAAATTTGTTTGCAAAGATGTTCACTACAGTCTTTTTAAAATTTAAAACTTGTAAGCAATCTAAGTCATCAAAACTTTAAAATAAATTATGATACTACCAAACAATCAAATATTAGGTAGCCATTGAAAAATTATACAATCTCAAGAGAAGCTGCTCAGAGTAAAAGAAAAAAAAAAGCAAGCTATGAAAATTAATACAACTTTATTTTTAAAATACAGAAAGGCCTACATGGGCATTCCTCAAAATATAACTAGAGGTTATCTCTGAGTAGTGGGACATTTGCAAGTCATATACTTACTAAGGGTAGTATCCAGAGTATATAAAGAACTCTTATAACTCAATAATGAAAAGACAAAAACAATTAGAAAATGGGCAAAGGATTTGAATGGACATTTTTCCAAAGAAGATATACAAATGGCCAATACACACATAAAAAGATGCTCAACATTATTAGTCATTAGGGAAACACAAATCAAAACTATAATACTACTTCCCATACACTAGAATAGTTATAATTGTTTTTCTTTGTTTTTTGTACTTTTAGTAGAGACAGGGTTTCACCATGTTGGCCAGGTTGGTCTCAAACTCCTGACCTCGTGATCCACCCACCTCGGCCTCCCAAAGTGCTGGGATTACAGGCGTGAGCCACTGCATCCGGCCTAGAATAGCTACAATTTTTAAAATGGAGTGTTGGCAAGGATGTGGAACAAACTGGAACTCTCATACATTGAAAGTGAGAATATAAAATGGTGCAGCTGCTTTGGAAAATGGTTTCTTAAAATGTTAAACACAGAATTACTGTATGACCCAGCAATTCTACTCCAAGAGAAATGAAAATACATGTCTACACTAAAACTTGTACATGAATGTTCATAGTAGCATTATTTGTAATAGCCAAAAAATGGAACGACCCAAATGTCCATCAACTGATGAATAGATAAATAAAATGTACATATTCGTACAACAGAATATTATTTGGCAATAAAAAGAACTGAAGTACTGACACATATTACAACATGGATGAACCTTGAAAACACACTAAATGAAAGAAGCCAGGCACAAAAGGGCCAATATTGAATGATTCCACTTATATGATATATTCTAAGTAGTCAAATTCATAGACACAGAAAGTAAATCAGTGGCTGTGAGGGCCTATGGTAAGGCAGAATGGAAAATGATGCCTTAATGGGTACTGGGCTTCTTTATGGGATAATAGCAATATTCCAGAATTAGAGAGTAGTGATGGTTGTACAATATCGTGACTACACTAACAACCAATGAATCGCATACTTTTAAATAGCTAAAATGCTCAATTTTATGTTATGTAGATTTTATTTAATAAAAAAGAACATTGTCTTTACTAAAAGCTCAGAGTCGTTTCTCACAACCTCAGAGAGTTATTTCCCTTTTTTTTGGTGCTTAAGTATTAACTTGAAAATGTCAAATTACTGTGTCTCATCTATAAAATGGGATAATAGCAGCACTGTCCTAAGGTTTTAGGAAGATTCAGAAAGCTAATACCGTATGTGCAAAGTATTCACAATAGTGCCTGAAACAATAGCTTTAAATAAATGTTAGCTATTGGTAGTATTGTACTTGGAATCTAACCAGAATGTGAAAAAATTACTATTTCTATTTTTATCCAAATTAGTGTCTAACAGACACTTCAATGAGAGGCAGATTTCTTTGACTAAAATCAACAAGGAAAAGGCACAATTTGATTTTTATGTTATTGCTGCTGGTCTAAGATTGAATTTTAAACAGTTTGATCTTTGATTATAATGAGATGACAAAGAGTTCCAGGTATATTCAACATGCTACATCTGTCACAGGAGTACAAAGGGGTTCCAGACACCAAAAACTAAATAATTCTGTCAGCAATGCTACAAGGTCAAAATGAGAGAAAGCAGGTTGGAGCAGCAGGAAGGGAAGCTGGGGACTTTTCTAGTTCTCCTGAGCTGTTAATAGATATTAACAAGCTACTTTACCTCAATGCTTAAAAAAACTGAAATTCTAGACTACCAAATTTACCCATATTGAAATATAAGTTAAACACCAGAAAATGATTATAGACTCTCTTAGATTAGAAACAGTAGTTTTAGAGTTAATGGTAAATTATCTAAATTTTAGAGTTAATGGTAATTGCTTTATCTGAAAATAAGGCAAACAAATCAAAATGTTATGTCTTCAGAAAAGAAGAGGCAAAATCTATTTGCTTAAGAGAATAAAAAAGCGAGCTTTACATATGGTTCATGTTTGTGCAATGCAAAACAGGTCAGTCAGTCAATAAAGCAAAGGGATAAAATTACAACCCAGTAATTATACAACTATAAATAGTGCCTGAAGCCACAAATAAAAGGACACATTCTACTTGAGTAAAAAGTGGACGGCACTATTAGATTAGTATTGGTCTAATAGGAACATAAATAAGAGCACATTAACAAATATTTATTTATAAGTGTCTAACATTTAATGAACCACAATAATGTTTAGCAATATACATAGTAAGATACATGAACAAATACATTTTGTATGCGGTCATAAACTATAGACTGTTTTGTCTATACTTTATATAGACAAAAACAAAAAACACTTAAGCCAAACTGTTTTCCAAACTTTCCAATAAAATATTCCTGTATGTACAGTGAATGGTCAAAAAAAAAAAAAAAGGATTAGAAAGCAAGCATTTTCAAGAGATCAGGAGGCCACTGCTGAGAATGCAGGGATGCTCCTGAAGAGACATTATGATAGTGATTACCTATAGTCATACCTGTGCTCATGCTTTTCATCCCCATTCTGAATCGTATCCGTTTGCCATGAAGGACCTCCGAAAGGTATTTAGCATTCCAGTGTCGTGCTGGCCAATCAAACACCATGTTACAGAAGATTGCAGGTTGTTGTAAAGACATGATAATTTCTTTTGCTTTCTCTGGCGTAAAAGGTTTGACATGTTCACCTAGAAAGAGAAATGAATAGAGCAATAGATAGAAAACTATCAAGTTTTTTCATACAATATGGAGAAAAAAATAGCGAATATTGTTTTTATCATGGCAAATCATTCTCTACAATTACAATGATGTATACATCATTTACTGCTGTTTCTATACACATATGACCTCAAAAGACCTAATTCTTTTCTTTTTTTAGATCCAGGGGTATATGTGCAGGTTTGTTACATGGGTATATTGTGCAATGCCAAGGTTTGGGTTTCTGTTGAACCTATCACCCTATCACCCAAATAGTGACCACAGTACTCAACAGGTAGTTTTTTAACCCTTGCTCCTCTCCCTGCCTCCTCTCTTTTGGAGTTCCCAGTGTTTATTATTCCCATGTCTGTGTGTACTTGATGTTTAGCTCACACTTATAAGTGAGAACTTGTGGTATTTAGCTTTCTGTTTCTGCATTAATTAACTTAGGATAATGGCTTCCATCTGCATCCATGTTGCTGCAAGGGAAATGATTTCATTCTTTTTTATGGCTGCATAGTATTCCATGGTGCATATATATATGTATGTATCTCATATTTTCTTTATTCAATCCACCATTAGTGGGCACCTAAGCAGATTCCATCTCTTAGCTATTGTGAATAATGCTGTGATAAACACATGAGGGCAGGTGAAAAGACCTAATTCTTAAATGATTTTACTCATACTAAATTTTAAGTGTTTAAATTTTGGTAGATATTTACAATATTCAATGTCAAAAATGAAACTTTAGTGTTAAAAAAGGCTTTCCAACTACATCTTTAAATTTTAGAAGGTGTGATTTTTTGGAAAACACTACTTCCTAAGTAGAGGATTATGTAAGAAACGCTGATGGGAACTACTCTTGAACAACTAGAGTTACTGCAGTCAGCAACAATTCTACTTGTTATATCACAGGTTAATGCCAGAAAGACTACTGAGTCAATATAGCAGTCAACCGGGGAGGGAGAAGGATTATTTTTATTGCAATTTTAAAAGGATAAAAGATGTACTTAGATGGCAATCAATATTAATCCTTGGTTTCAACTGCATCTATAAACAGTACAGAAGAACTGTACAAACCAACACTGTAATTTAAATAAATGTCACAGAATCATAAAATATTAATCTTGGATAGGAGAGCAAAGATTAGTATTTTTTGAATAAAAGAACAAGCAAGTTTCTCTTTTAAAGACATCTTAAGATGGCAAGTTTTTTGGGAGGTTTAAAAAATGCTTCATACTCTCTGACCCTCAAAACATATATTTATGATTATCAAGAACAATCAGCTAACCCTCTATTTTAGTTACTTTATCTATAATTACACTGAATTCAAAACATTAAGAAAAATTCATAAATAGTCCAAATTCTTCTATCACCCAACCTTCTTCTCTATGATAAAAGGAAGAGGGATAGGGAAGGAATCATCAAAGAACTTGAGTAATTTGTGTTTGTCTAAAGGTAAGGTTTGTTTTTAAAGAAACTGAAAACTTAAATCAGTTTGGCCTCCTTTCTCAGACAAGGACAAAAACTTGGAATCCCTTCTTAAGCCCTCAGTGAAAGTCAGCAGGCTCTAAGCCCTTGGTAGATGACATTTGAGAACAATCTGTTACCTTCTACACAGTCATCATTCTAAGTGAGAAGGTCAGTGTGGATGCTCAGAGGGGAAAGGCAGGAGAGTCAGGGACTGCATGCAGTGAGGAAGAGAAGGCACCCTTGGTCTCACTGAAAAGCAGCCCCTGGTTTATCTTCAGGTGACCTCTACAAGGTAAAGAGCCCTGTAAAGGATAACATTATGTGACCAAGAATACAATTTTCTGTTTTTCCTTGAGATGGTTGCTTTTTATTGTGTTTTTCACTTTTGACATGTACAGCAACTTTGCATTCAAGTTCTTCATCCATTCCATACGGGTCTATAAGTCTAAGTACAAGGTTACCTATATGGCAGTGCACCAAATCTTCCTGGACTTGGTATGCCTGGATTCCGCGTATATGAAAATGAACACCTACATTTTTTTATTATATGTTTTTAAAGTTTTGCTGTAGACTACTTGTACGGAAGGTCAAATTTCTCCTCTACCCTCTTAAAGTCTCTAGCTGAGACTGACATAAAACAGGTTAACAGGGAAACGCATACAAACATTATTCAGAAATTTTTACATGTACATGGGAGCCCTCACAAGAAAAATGAAGACCGAAAGAAGCAGTTAGAGCTTAACATCTATATAGTAGGCTGGGCAAAGAGTAGTAAATTTTGAAAATGAGACAAGACAAAGAAGTTGGGTGAGTACAGGTAATTGTGGAAAAGTGACTGGGAAGATAAATGTTGGTTTAACAAGGTTTGTTAGTACAGATTTCTCTCAGCCTTTATTACCCATCTTTGGTTACAAGAATGTCTTCCTTGTTCCTGGTACAGGGAGGGCAACTTTCACATGGAAGTTTTACCTCCCGCTTTTGGGAAGAAAAAGGGAGCTCAAAATG